GAAGAGAGTGTTAGAGAGAGTGCATGTGTGTTAGATAGAGTGTGCAAGTGAAGAAAGAGTGTAGTGAGAGAGTGTGCTGAAGAGAGAAAATATTTATATAATATTAGATAGTGCTATTTGGTGGTTCTTGTCTAGTGTGTATCCAAAATTGTAAAATCAATTTCATTAATAAACTTTTATTTTGGGCCTCTAAACTCAACAAAAATTAGTATAAGGTATCTTTCCCACAAAACTCTTCTATAAGAAGTATAAATAAAAGCAGAATTCCTATTAAACGGATCCTAAATTACTTAATGAATTTATAATTAAAAAAATAATTACTCATCATATGCATTATTATCTTGGAAATCATGATACATGTACAATGATGATTGACAAAGTTTGTTGACAATCATGATTTGACATCATCACATTCATCCACTTCAAAAAATTTCAAAAACTATTTTTTAAAATCAACTATCCAAATTTTGCTACATCAAACATTGTCAACAAACATTGTCACCATCATTGTACAAGTAGATTAATTCTCTTGAAAGAAGATGTTACTTGTCACTTTCTTCAAGAGTCAAGGAACAAAAGTTCTCTTTAACTTTGTGTATATTACAAACTACAAACATGAGATAATGTATATTAACAGTCATTTGTATTTGTTACGTCTCACAACCGAGGTTCCCACGTGAAACTTACGTGACATCCTACGTGGAATGCAATGGACCAACCAAAGCCCTTTCATTGAAGCGGTGGCGTTCTATTGACCTATTGAAGCCCTCTTGCCGAAGTGGTGATACTCTAAGAGGCCAAATCTGAAACTCTACCACCACAAGTGACGATCCACTTCCTTTGAAGATCCTAAATGGATAAAATCTTGTTCGAATGATTGATGTAGCCCTTGTAATGAGTAATATGTCAAAGTCTTGTCAACATAGGTTGCAGGGTGGCTGCCTTTCTTTAAGAGCATTAAATGCGTCATTAGCTAGTTGTGTCAAAATTGATATCTAGGATAAAATGCTTCGGTTAAGGAGATGATGTCACACGTCCCCTCATCCAATGGATACCATTTCACATATAACACTATAAATACCCCCCTAGTGTCATTTGAGGGTAATGCAAAACATCTATTTTGAGCTACATTTCATCTCCCCTTGAGTTGAACCTTTTGCTACTAAAGTTATTTGTTTGATTTTGGCTTTTAATTTGCATACTGTTGATTGTTCCGTATCATGCGATTCTGCTCGTATATCTTGCCAGCGCCTGAACATTTTAATCTCGCCTTATAAAGCTTCTTCCGCGTACAAACTCGAAATATCATTGACTAGCACTCTGTCCAAATGTGGTGGAATTATCTTGGGTGGACGTGAGTGAGCCTGGTATTTGTCATCAACGGCAATGGTACAAAAAACGAGTTCA